CACCTCAGCCTCTCAAAGGCGCGGGATTACAGACTGAGCCACCAAGCCCGGCTCGCCCTTATCTGTTTAAGCTTCCTTTCAAGACTGTTTGAGGCTGGATGCAGTGGCTCACACCTGTAATTCCAAAAGCAGAAGGATCACTTGAGGCCAGGAGTTCAAGATCAGCCTGGGCAGCATAGTGAGACCTCATCTCTACAAAATTGAAAAATTAGCTGGGCATAGTGGTACACACCTGTGGTCCCAGCTACTCAGGAGGCTGAAGCAGAAGAGTCACCTAAGCCCAGGAGGTTGATGCTGTGGTGAGCCATGATCATGCCACTGCACTCCAGCCTAGGCAACAGAGTGAGACTCTACTCAAAAAAAAAAAAAAAAAAATTGTTGGAACAAAGGCTTCCAAGTCTTTAAAAAGTTGAAAATTCCTTTTCTGATGAAGAATAGAAACCCCAGACTTTACAACTCTCAGTCCTAAACTTCTTTGGTCTTGGCCCCACGGCCAAGAAACTTTCCATTCTAATAGTTTGTATTCCTTTCTACTTCTGATGCTCTGAAACAGATACATAAACAAGAAAATCTTTGTGTGCTTCTATCTGGGGTGTCTTTCCCAGCCACTCCAGCAAGTTCAGCAGATGTTGTCTTCTTAATTTCTAGGCCCGTGGGGAAGATAACTACAACACTATTTAACAATAAAGATATCTGAAGTTACCAAAACTTACTGGCACCTGGAGTATTTCCAAGCCCTGGAATTCAAGGTTACTAGGGGACCATCTACTCTGGTGCCAGTGAGGAGAGTGGGACAGCAGAAGCTATACAGGGACTGAGTCTGGAATTGGCTGAGTGGAGGGCATGAGGGAGAGCTGGAGAGGCACTAACATTCCAACTGGATGTTACAATTTCTTTAAGCAGTTTAAGACTTTAGGCAGAGAGAACACAAACAAATGAAGGAAGCAAACTCCAACCTCCAGACCTCTCCCTGAAATGCTCTTATTCCAGATTGCCACAAGAGAAGAAAGAAAGCTGAGGGCCAAGAACCAGGCAGCCCCAAGTCACTGCATTTCAATGCATATCTCAGGAGAGTCCAAGAAGTCTAAACTTAAATTTGGCCTTCCAGATTATTGTGAAGGCACACACGTCAAGATGAAAAGACAGGAGTTTCACATAATAGTTCAATCTGGTTTATAGTTTTAAAATATGTAGACATGATACGCAGCCTCGATTTGTAGACAGACTCAGCCCCTTCAAATATCATGGGTAGGCCCATTCCTGACCACCCTGTCTAACCTACCACCTCCTCCATCCTTCTTCTTACTCCATTCTATACTTCTTCACAACATTCGTCACCATCTGATCTACACGTACTTAGGCATCACCTCTTCATCCCCACTAGATCGTAAGCTCCATGTCCCTAGAGTCTCTATTTTGTTTACTACCTTATTCTTGGTACCTACAGCAGTGCCTAGCAGGACACCACTCAGTAAATTCTGAACACAGGAATGACAAATCCAGTCTCATGGCTTACAGGAGAGGTTGGCTAATCCAGCAGACAAATAAAAAAAGGTCACTTGAGACAATCCTCTAAGGAAAACCTTCTCCTTTTATATAACTCCCTCAAAACAATGGAGCTACAGAAAGTGACCAGGGAAAATCCGTTGAACGCCTCAATACCCATGCACAAGATCAGCGGATCGGGTTGCCTGTGAGAGGGACACTGAGCGAGTAGAGACGCCTCCGAGTAGGCTGAAGAGACAGAAGCGAGGGAGCTGGGTTGTGGGGAGCCCCACGGAAGGAATCTCCCTAACAACACTATGCGGGCGGCCAGACGCGGGTGCTGAGGAAACACTGATTTCCGCGGCGATGGCCACGGCAACCCGGCCCAGCCCAGGAGAAGGCGCTTATCCGTGACGAGGACGCCCTCGACGCACGTTCCCTTTGGATGGCCACAGGCCTCAGCAGCGGAGGGTGCGCTGATCCCAGTGGGGCCCTGGCGGTCACGGACTCACAGACCGTCCTCTTACACGCCCCTCTGCGCTCCCACCTACTCCTAACTCCCAACGTCTTATTGCCTGGCGGCTTCCCGGAACTCTTCCGGGCCAGCATACACCAGTGTCGTCTAGTCCAACGGACCCCACTTCCGTTGGATACGGGGGCCGCGAGAGACCAAACGACCTCCAGGGCCCCTTAGCGACGGTGATCTGTAGCGAGCCTCTGCTCGGCGGGCCCCCCACTTCTTTCGTTTGAGGACGGAGTTCCAGGGACCAGGCTGCGTTCTCCGCCTCCTGGAGCCTGAGGCGGGAACTGGGCTCGCCCACCACCGAGGCTGCGGCGGACCGCGAAAGGGTCGCTCACCGCCCGAGCCCACCTCCGGCGCCCAAACTCCGGACCCCGCCCACTAGGGGATCCCGGAGCTGTCGACGGGGGCGGGGCCAGAGACGGAGGCGGGACTCTGGGCGGGGCCTGGGGGCGGGGCCACGGGGCTCCTCCCCGCGGGCGGAGGCAGGCGGTGCCGAGGCGCAGCTTCGGCCCGGTTCATCCGAAACTTGAGAGCAGTGCTGGGCGCAGCCGCCGAGGATGAGGAGGTGCGGCCGCGGTTGTGGGCCGCCGCCGTCGCTGCTGCTGCTGCTGCTGCTGCTGGCTGTGCCCGGCGCTGGCGCGGCCCCGCGCTCGGCGCTCTACTCGCCCTCCGACCCGCTGACGCTGCTTCGGGCGGACTCGGTGCGCCACGCGGTGCTGGGCTCCCGCAGCGCCTGGGCGGTGGAGTTCTTCGCCTCCTGGTGCGGCCACTGCATCGCCTTCGCCCCGATTTGGAAGGCGCTGGCCAAGGACGTCAAGGGTGAGAAGCCAGGGCGGCTGGCCCGTCCGGGAGCCCGTCCCTCTTCACATCACCCCCGCCCACCTCCTCCTCTCTGTCCATCCCACACCCCCCACTTTCACGTTTCTGAACTCCGTTTTTGACCCCCGCCCCGTCTTTTTCCTCTTGGCTCGCCTCCCGAGCTTCCCTCCCCGCTCCGCGGCCTGGGCCCCCAGACCTGCTCTGCTCGCCCTGTTCGTCCTCTGCCAGGTTACTGCCCCGTCCGTGCGAGGGGGTCTCCTTTGTTCCTCCACCCGCTCCGCTGACACCTTATGACTTCCTCTAGCCCAGTCTGTGGCAAGCCCTTTCCTCTTGCCAAAGGAACCCGTGTCGCCTTCCTGCCAGGTTTCCTACCTGCTGTGGGTCAGTGCTGGGGAGTAAAGGGAACTGACATTCATTTTGCCGCCCCCACCTCTTTTCTCCACCCCCTCGGCTGATTGACCGGTTGGCACATAGACTTCCTCTCTCATCTTTGTCTTTGGTGTGGGTACCCTCACCTGGCGGTTTTCCTGTCTCCCGCCCAGGCCTCTCCTGACCTCCAGCCTCCAGTTCCTTAGCTTCTGGGCCACATCCTTCTCTCTTTTCCCCTCTGGACCCTAATATTTTAACCCCATGAACCCAGAGGCCTCTGGTGTGTGTCTGGCCCGTGGTTCATGTTTCCATTCACTGGCTTGGGCACTGAGGCCACTATTCCTTGGTTCCAGGACACCAACAATTGTGAGACAAACCATTTTGTGACAGCCTGAGGGACCGAGAAATAAGAAAACCTCTAAAAGTCTAGAGAGTGTGTGCCCTATTACAGACATGCTAACATTGTTTAAAAGGTAAGACTTAGACTTGAGGAAATATGATAATGATAATGAATATTTACTGGGCACCTATATGTCAGACACCTTACTGCATATGTACTGGACATGCATTATCTAATAGTTTCCTTTCCACAACTTAAAGATTTCTGTAATGTCACACATCCACCTAGCCCAGGTAATGGGTATTTGGAGGGCAGGAGTGGCATAGTGATAGTGATTTGTTTCTGATTTGCTGCCTCTGAACAGAGCTACTTACTGATTATGGTGCTAGGCGCTAGCCAAGATTCCTGCCCTGGGCTGGTCATTGAATGACATCTGTGGGCATCTTAGGAAATTCGCCTCTTTCTAGAGAAAGGAGAACTGGAATCGTTGTTCCCCTTCTGTGCGGTTGGTGTTTCTTGATAAACTCAACTATTCGGGTAGAATACTACATCTATAGACATAGGTTTTCAAACTCAGCCTACCTCTTTTCTTGCACAGCTTGCTGGGTGGTTCCTGAAGTGGATAGATGGAAGGGTGTGGATGTCTTATAGCCATAGGGTCCTAGAAAATTATTGTAAAACAAAATGTATAAACTCTTTTACCTCCAATTTACACTTGTCCACATGCCTCTCTGATCCCATTACCCAGATGCACCCCTCTAAGCAGCCGTTCACAGCTCTTCAGTGTTGTCAACACATCTGGTCAGGGCAGGAGGGAGGAACAGCATGGGCCATGGAGTTGGAACATGTAAGGAGAGATAATCTCAGGGGACATTGTGGGCATAAACATCATAAAAATGCCCTGGTCACTTTCCACTTTGAGGCTGTGGGAGGTCTTTAATGGCTGCAGATGAACTCATTCTAGAAGATTCTTCTTGAGAATGCTGGAGGGAAGGATTAGCTTCCAGCTGATTCATGTGTTTGGCCTCTTGCAACCCCAAGATCTCCTATGAATTGCATATCTGTATACTGACCCAGCCTGTCCTGGAAGAGGATTGCTGCTTCTGATAGGGCTTCCCCAGTGCCTGTAGTCTTTCCCTAAAAAAGAAAGCAAAATTCAAATTTAACCTCTGAGAGGAAAGTGGGAGTGTGAGAGAGTCTGTGGAAGTGAACCAGGGTCACGAGGTGGGAGATCCAGGTGGAAGTTGGAGGTGGCTCGTGGGCAGTTGGTGTGAGTCAGTCCCCTACGCTAGCTCGTGTAGGGGGGCCTTGGAGGAATCTGGTGTCCATCTGCGGTGATGAATGCTTCCCACTCTAGCCCAAAGGGCTGTTTCCTGGTGAGGCCCTGCTAAGGGCTGGTCTTGCCTCATCTCTGTGTGGTGAGATTCCTTGAGAAAGGTGGGCCTGCAGAGGGCTGCTGTCATCCCCCCTGGGCTGTGCCAGGATATGACATGACCCCGGCTGGTAGGGCATTTGTCTTGTGGCAGGAACAAGAGAGTGTGGAAGGTTTTGGGGCGAGAGAATTTAGCAACCGTGCCCAGCTGGCTTCAGGCATTCCATCTGACTGGACAGGGCTCATTGCTTCAGTGACTGGGCAGTAGCCCGGGGCAGAGCACTTGTTTCTGAGGACCTGGCTGGCCCCTTTCTATTCCAGAGCACTCCTAGTGTCCCACCCTGTGTTTGGGAAATCGCTCTTGTCCAATTTAGACCTTCATTGCTATTCACCAGCTAATCAATCAGCAAATATTTGTAGAGTGACAAAGCATTGTTTGCATTGCAGTGGGAGAAAAGAGCTCTACACAGAAGGAAAATTGGCAGCAGTAAGAAGCTGTGTTTGAAAAGCGCCAAAAGAGGGGTCCAGCCATTTCTTGTTGTGGGAATTGAGGGAAGGGGAAAGTCACAGAGGATAGTCCTGTCACTTCGGCCTTCATTCAAGCAGTTCTTCATTACACATTTATGTGAAGCCAGCCAGGCCATTACCATGTGTAATCTTACCTGAGAAAATACGTGAGCTATGGATATTGTCTTTTTTCTTTTTCTTTTTTTTAAAACAGATAAGTAACTTGATGAACGTTTTCACAGATGCTGGAGGAGGTTACTGGCTCTCCAGAGCCTGGGCAGGTAGAGAAGTGGGCAAAGGAGGAGGGATACTCTAGCATGTGCCCAGCCATGTAGATGAGATTTGTGAGGCATGTGTGTTTGGGCGAGAGTGAGCAGTGTTGGTTTTGCCTCCCTTCTCTTTGAGGGCACAACCACATCTCCTACTGTACCTGTGATGCCTAGCACAGAGCCCAGTACACAGCAGGAGCCCACTGAACACTCATGATGGCTGATGTCCTGAGCCTCCCAGACTCTAAATGAGGATGTGAGTGTAGAACCTTCTGCTGGTGCTGTAGCTCCTCTTGACTCAGACAAGGAGTGTCAGCCAGGTGTGAGGGGTAGGGAAAGCATTTTGTCCATCCCATGACCTCACTGCCCAGAAGCCATCAAGGAGGAGGAAGGAAGAGATGTTATTGCATAGTGCTTACTAGCTGGTCATGATATATACTAAATCTGTGTCAGGAGGACTCCTGGAGACATGGATGGGGTATCCAGAGCTGAGGACAGGCAGAGTCACTAGACTACTAAACCTGACTGGCCCTTGGTAGTTTGTGTAAACCTATGCCTCTGCCTCAATGGAAATCTAGGCTTGCTTCACACTCAGAGGCTGCAAGCTACTTTTCTTGTTAAGAGTTCTGGCCAGGCACAGTGACTCACACCTGTAATCCTAGCACTTAGGGAGGCTGAGGCAGGAGGATTGCATTAGCTTAGAAGCTCGAGATCATCCTGGGCAACATAGCAAGTCCTCATCTTTAGAAAAAAAATTTTTAGCCGGGCTCGGTGGCTCAGCCTGTAATCCCACGCCTTTGGGAGGCTGAGGTGAGTGGATTGCCTGAGCCCGCGGGTTTGAGACCCGCCTGGGCAGCGAGACCTCACCTCTACAATAAATCAAAAAAATCAGCCGGGCATGGTAGTGCATGCCTGTGATTCCGGCTACTTGGAAGTCTGAGGCGGAAGGATCGCCGGAGCCCAGCAGGTCGAGGCTGCGGTGGCCAGGAGCAGCCACTGCACTCCAGTCTGGGTGACTGAGG